TGCACAATACATATGTTATATATATATATATATATATATATATATATATATATATATATATATATATATATACACACTAATTTAAATACAATAAAATATAACAAATAATATAAAATATTTATATGTAATTCAGGTTTTTTGATGATTTGATGCATCAGGCTTTTATGGCTCATATAGTCTGATACAGTGAGAATATGCAATTTGCTGAAGATGCTGATATTTCTATGATGAAATTCTGATGCTTGTAATGTAAATTGAGATGTTTATAACAGTAGAGCAGATACTGACACTGATCTAAATATCAGTCATCACTATATCTCCAATAATAAGATGAGATTGAAATGCTCCAAACATATAATGCAGTGATTGAGAGCTGAAGAAATAAAGGCTCCTCTGAAGATGTGAGATGTTCTGGAGGCTTGTGAAGATCATTCCTCCGCTGAGGAACAGTGAAAGTAAAGCTTCTGGAAACAAACGCTCCTCAAAAGATCCTGAGGATCAGATTTGAGACTCTAAAACATGATTGCTGGAGAATCAAGTAAAGCTGAGCTGCTTCAGTCCAGTAAGAGTTCATCTGGAGATATTACTGCAGTTATTCTGACCTTTACTTGATCAAAATCAGTCAAGATTTGACAGCAGAAAGACACAAGAAGCACCACCTGAAGCTGGACATTAATTACACTAAAAGAGCAAAGTTTTGATCGTTTAGAGGCTTTTGCATATTAAATATGAGGGTTCAGCATCTCATTTCATGCTCCACAAAAGAATGAAAGTCACACAGGTTTGATGACCGAAGTTCTCGGACCTCTGCGGTTCCCCTCTCATGTGCCTCTACGCTTGGATTCGTCTCTCTGCTCAGAGCCTTCGATCTCTCGTGCCTTCAGCCTGTGATGTGTGTGATTAGATCACAAACGTCTTTAGCTTCTTTTGCCAAGGAGTCACATGATCAAAAAATGCTATTGTGTCTTCCATTTCCTGTACGAGAGCCCGTGTTTATTATTGTCATTTCCTGTTGTTTCTCTCTCTCTCTCACAGGTTTGTTCTTTTGAGGTGAAACAAAAAAACAACAACATGTCTACGCCATTTTTCACCTCAAAAATAAAAGAAATAATGTGTAAGTAAATATAAATTAATACAATAAAAAAATATATTGATTTTTGATGTGTGTAATTATGTTTTAGATTTTTACATATGTAAAAATACTACATTGTATAAATATTACTTAAATGTAAACTATTACACACACACACATGTCTCCTTATTATATTAGCAATTATGAATATTTGAATGAAAACTAAATGTATGGATAATGCAAAACGTCTGGGTTTTCTCTCAGTACTTTAGATTTTAGTCTGTAATCTATTAAAGGTGTGCATTATATTTGAGATTAAAAGCCAACTACATAAAAACAACAAAAAACACTGTCATTGTGATCACTGAAAAGCAGATATTTGTAGAAATATTAGCATTAATATTCTTTCCAAGAAGCATTTTTAGCCACAGACCATAGGCATATTTCTTGGTGTTTATTCGTTTAGATTTAGATGACAACATGCATGTTATGGACACTGAATGTTTGAATCTCTTTCACACCCGCGGGATAGAATGACCCTTTATTTTTCTATACAATCCTTATGATTTGATTTTCTCAGTTGGTCATGTGACTTCCTCCAGATGTGACTCTGGATCGAGCTTCAGAAACGCACGAAATCACTGCTGTTTGCTGTCTGATCGCTTCATCTCAGCCCCAAATCCAAAGAAAATCAGAAACAACATTTCACATAAATAAATGGTTTATAAGCTTAGAGATATCGTGACATTCTTGTCATGACAGCTTCCTGCAACTCTTCATTACTGTTATGCAAAAAAAAAAAGACTTCTTAAATTGTAAGTACACAACACATAAGTATTTGTTGCACTATAAATGTGTTTAATTGTCATGACAGTAATGTCACAATCCAAAATAGGCTTCATTTCTTTATGCAAAATTGTTTTGTTTTTTTTAATTTTGGGGTGAAATGGAATCCAGACGTGTTTATGAAGTTCATCTGTATAAATCAGACTGATACATGTGTTTTTCTGCTTGTTCTGATGCTCATCTGCCTTATGAATCATTCTCTTCATGTTTCACACTGAAAACACAGACGGCGCAAAATCAGAAAATCACTTCATCTTCATCACAGAATTCAATGCTTCCCACAAGCCTCCGTCTCATCATCATCCAGAAACAAAGTGAAGCATAACTGCACAAATCTTCATGTAGTTCTTGTGTTTCAGTTATAATCGTCATAGTTGAGGGTCTGGGCTTCTGGTTGGTGTGATTATGTAGTTTGCGTGCGTCTGAATTTATGAAACGTAGTATATAACACTGAAGGCAGAGATGAATGAATCGTGTACATATCTAAGATCTGTGCATCTGTGATTATTGGAAATAAATTTAATTGGTGCAAATTCATCAGTTTAAATGTCTTTCGTCTTGAAACCACTAAAAAATAAAAAAAATCATTATTTGAAATGAAGCAAATGGATTCACCGAATAAAATAAAATAATTTTATTTCAGGTAGTTGTCAAAGCAACATTTAGTTTTTAACTTGATATGCTAAATCTGAAATAAAAATTAAGTGTAGATGAATTAAAAAAAATCTAATGAAAATATGAAAACAACAGAATTACTAAAACTCTTAATTAAAATGAAAACGAAGCCGTAAAATGCAAAAATAAAAAAGAAAGTGCATCATGTAATATTTGCAGCAATAAAATACTGAGGCATTTTTAGATTCCCAGATAACAACCGCCAAATTGAATAACACACGCTCATCCGGGAACTACGAGTTATCTTGACCGGTACTACTTATATGCTTAACGAGTCACTCTGCCATCTTGTGACTGAAAACACTTAACCACCGCGTGTTACAATGGAAGACTTCAGCATTAATTTCAACATATATGGTAAAAACAAATCTTTTTAGCCGTATAATAAGCGGGATAATGTACATCCAGCCGGTTGTTATCTCAGAATAAACCCAATACAAGACCTGATCACCCTGTCGGGGTTTATTCTGAGATAACCGGCTGGATGTACATTATCCCTGACTTGATCACATCTA